CAAGCCACAGTTTGCCCACCTCTGCCCTAGAGGAATGCCATGCCAATATTAGTCGAGCATCCTGAATTTTATATAAAATTCATGAATTGTAGACACAACTAACTCGAAACATGCTGTGCAGACGAACACTGTGAGGGCCAAACTACAGACACACACGAGACACCCTGTAATCTCCTTGGGTAGACCTCCCAAGAGGTGGCAGAAGAGAGAGTTATTGGGGAGACTTTCTCAAATAGGAGAGTATCCCAAAAGAGAAGAAAGGGAAAAGATCCATAACCAAACATGACAAGAAAAAAAGAAATGTCTTCACTCCATCCATAGACCAGGTTGGTGGTTGGCACTTGGGCTTCTTAGGAGTGCGTTATGCTCTTTAGTCCTATAGCTCTTCTTCATTTCAAGGGGAATGCAACCTTTTTTTTTTTTTTTCCCCGAAATTAGGTTGTGCTGCTAACAGTCTCTACACCCCTGTTTTCTTACATTTCCCTTTTTAATGCTGGTAAGGCCTTCTGGTTTCTCTCTCTCCAGAAGACATGATTAGCCAGAAACCTGGCCCCATGCAAGTATTGAATCAACCTTACAATCCTAAGGAGAAACAATAACTTAAGAGTCCATTTGGTTAACAAATTATGTTTATATATGCTTTCAACATGGGCTCTTATAAACTGTGGCACTCTCCTATTATCTAACATATTACACTTCTAGATTTCCAGGTATCTGGGCAGGGCACACAATTATTGATACAAACAAAAAAGTTGTCTTTCTAATTCAGTCCTTCAAGATTGGGAGGCTCATGATGGACAACACATGGCCTTCTCCTTCTCAACATTTGTAGGTGGGAGCATGCTAAGATGAGTATCCAAGGCTAAGGCAGACAATAAAAAGACAGGCTCCAAGAGGGTTACCATAAAACTTTTGAGATGTGAAGTGCTGGTCCCTTATTTGCATTTATACTAATGAGGAAGTATAGTGATGTATCTCATAGTTGCCCAGTTCCCAATAGTCCATTCCCACCCTATCTCCTTTCTCAGTCCTTACCACAGACAGGAAATTATTCAAGGTCCTGAACTATTGCTCTAATTTCTAATTTGTGGGCTATTGTTCTATTTCTAGGAAAATCAGGAGAAATGGGGAATTATTAGAGAGTTATTGCTTACATGACCAGGGAAGGCACCTGTCCTAGGAATAAATATCTGCTCTTTTCTTGACTAGCTACTGGGGTACTTACGGAAAAAAAAATTTTGTTTTTTCAACATGAGCTGAAGATATAAAATATATAGTCCTGGAATCAAAACTAGCATTTATTGGATTGCTGGCCAAAAATGTATATGAAATCAATAATCCCTGAGTAGGACATCTCCCAAATTAAACAAACAGCAGTTCTAATTCTATACAACTTCCATAGTTTTGTCTTAATCAACACAAATAGTTTGTCTAAAAGGGTGTGGTAGACATTACTAATGTTTACCAATATCTGGTTCTTCTCTCATTCCTAGTACATGAGAGACTGTGTTTCCCTGTTTCTTACAGTTAGGTAGGATCATGTGACTCGGTATAAGCAATGTAGGGAAGCATAGGAAAGGTGGGTATGAGGTCTTTACGTACTTTCTTTCCTTAAAAGGAGACCACATACTCCAGATGTGACAAGTTTGGTTGGTGGAGCTGCCATCAGCCTGGGATCATGGGTGACCATCTGGAGGAGAGTTCATGCTGATCAACAGTAAACATGTAACATGGACAAAGAATAAGCTTTAGTTATACTAATGCCATGAGATGTCAGAGTACATTTTTATTGCAGCATAGCAAAGTTTATCCTAATAAAAAGATAAGTTGAAAAGACAAGGGGATTGCCTTGTTTCTGGAACTAGGGGGAACAAATTAGAAACAGGGTAGTAGTTAGTGGTAAACCCTCTTGCCTTCCTTTAATCCTTTTTCTATGCACAAAAAAAATGCACCCATTCTGTCAATTTTCAGTTCTATATTCACACATATGCCAATTTTATAAAATGAAAATAACTGGGGAAACATGTAAAGTACACAGCTTAGTCTTGTGCATAATTTAAACATTTAAAAAAATTTTATGTATTCAAATATATTCATGAAAGGAGACATTAGCATGGAAAGCAGATGAGAAGTTGACTTTCAGTTCTCCTAGTTTTACTGTTCTTTGCCAAACATTCTCTTGGTAGCACATACCTATGCTCTCTTCCAAAGATATTCAGGGTCCTAGGAACTTTTTCTACTCTATTAAAATCTGCACTCAGAAAAGACTGAATTAAGCTTATTTACTCACTTAGTCATTGACACTCACCTTCTGTGTGGCCGGCATTATGCTGTATCTACCCTCAAGGGAGCTCACAGGTTAGGGGGAAAGCCAATCTGCAAAAAAAGTCCTTCATGTGAAGTATGTTGCATATACATCCACACAAGAGCAGGGACTAGGAGAAGCAAGCACATACATGGTAGTGGTCTTGGACATCAAGAGATTTACTGACAAAGACATGGTGACTTTTGCTCTTTAAAGATTATCCTAGTGACATTATAGTGGATGAGCACCACATTTAGGCAAGAGGTAGTGGCAGCACAAACTTGCCCAGTTAGCAAGGAGGACGGAGAAGAGAAGACTTGAGGCAGAGATATTAGCAGGCAGACACTAATTTAAATTGGAGAAGTGAAAAAAAGGGAGGAGTTTAGGACTATTCTTGATTAGGGGTCAGTGAAACTTTCTGTAATGGGCTGGCTAGTGAATACTTTAGAATATGATTCACACATAGTCTATGTTGTATAGTCTTTATTCTTGATAAGGTTTTAAAAATGCAAAAAAACTATTCTTAGTTTGAGGCATGGGTTTGGCCCACAGGCTATAGATTTTGCTAAACCATGCCCTAGATTAAGATTCCTCAAGGGAGATAGCTTGAGTTAGGTAAGAGAAGGAGAAGGCTCAGTCTGCAAGGGAATCTGAAAAGTACTGGCTGATACTACTAACTAGTTCATGGTTTTATCATAAATAAAAAAAGCTCTTTCAATAAGACTGAAATTCTGGCATATTGATCAAGTTGCCCTTTATTATAAAATCTGTTTTTACAATATGTTCTATTCTTTAGAAAACAAGGCTTTGATTCATTACTTCTGTAATATTTTTATTCTAAGTTCTATATGCTCAGTACATGCTTTTGTATTGCACTTGTCAGTTTTGGTTAATAATTGCGGATGAAAAAGGGGCACCGAATAAATCTAACTGAAAGTAACCTCGTAGGGTGATCTAATCATATGCTCCAGGCATAACTTCTTTAGTTAAAAGGGTTATCTTTGCCTTAAAAACCCTGTCCCTTGTTCTTGTGCATCTATGCTAACACACCTTTGAAACACCAGGGTCATCGTCTTTTTCTGACCCCTGGACGAAGTAGCCACCCTCAAAGGAGCTTGTAATCTTGTTCACTATCCTGTAATCCAATCTCCAGTGTACCTTCTCCCACCTTCATCTAATTTTCCATATATTCCATCCTTAATTCCAAGTGTACAAAAGGAACTGCAAAACTGTTATTCTCTAGAGCATTTGAGATTTTGCTTCTCAGCACTGTCATCAGTTTGGTTCAAATAAAATCTTATAAACATTTCCTACAGATTTAGACATTTCTTACATAAATTTTCTTCAGATTTGAGCATTTCTTATGTTGAGATAATGTCCTAAATACTTGGAAATAAGAATATAGTTTTTCATTACAAAGTCATAACCCATTATGTGCTTTAATAGTAGATGTTGTTTGTCTTGATGTATAATAAATAGGTGTTCAGTACAGTCAATTAATAATAATGATAAAATTTCCATTGAAAATTTCTGTTCACTTAGAAAGTAATCACCAGTTTCAGAAGGCTTAAATGTTTTCAACTTTGGGAGGATAGAAAGCAGTTAGTGGAGATGCTTTTCAATATATTTGTATTTTTACATTTGGATCGAAATATGAGGATCAAGAAATGTTTCCATTATATCTTAAATAGAATTTCTAGGCCTTCAAGTATGAAAAATTGTTCCTTTTGTTTCTAATTATTATGTATTAAAATGTGCACACACAAGTGCACATACAGTTAATTCTTGATTATCTGAAGGTAGATTAACTGGTTTATGGAGTAATGGGTTTGTGGATTAGCCTGTTTTCCGGTGGAGGTGGTTACTGGAGCAGCAGAAATTTAGGATTAGGTCACTTCCTCTACAGGGGCATGTAATCAAGCCCTGAGGCCTTAGCTCTGATTATCAGTTCCCCAGTGGTTAGGGAACAGGATTCCAGGTCTACCATCATGCAATCTGGCATACTTGATTTACTCTGTTAATAGTTTTACCCACAGTTTGGCTGTTCAGCTCCTGCCCCTTGAAGAGCTGTCCTTCAACTCCAATATCATAATTATCTAATTGTTCAGCTTCACTGGGAAATGTGATCTCCCAGATCATAGCTGTGGTTTATCCAAAGTTTGATTGATTTGCAATCTGGCTCTTTGAGTTAATGAAAAGTTTACTGTGGTTTTATTTGAACTGTGTGTGGTTTTGGGTTATCTGTAATCTAGTTTATTTCTACTCACCCTCTAAAATTATCTCTGTTAATCAATTATCGACTGTAATTATATATTCTCCAAATTTCCCTAAAAAACATAATTTCAAAGCATTCTGTCCAATTCTGTTATATCTTCCAAAAGATTCATTCCATTTCAGGGATCTTATTTGTTTTAATATGATGTTCCTGTGACAATGTAAAACTGTCCAATTCACAAAGTTGTTTTTAAATATTCAACTCCAAAAAAACTGGAAATTGATACTTGAACTTAGGGAATGGTTTCCAAATGCTCAGAGCTATCTGAATATTAGTATACCAATCAGAATACTAGTTGTTTATTCCAAAATGTGTTTACTTGATAACATTATTCATATCTTCTAACTTACTACTGTATTCTTTAAGTTTAAGATATAACAATGCAATACATGTTGAAAAGCTAATGAAAAGAAAAAAACAAACAAACAAATATAGTACTACAAGCTGAAATCAAGAGTGCTTTATCTTTTCAGTACCAGAAGAATAAACAAGATGGGTTAGTGAGGAGATAACAGAAAGACATAAGAAGAAGCAATGTAGGAATCCAAGTGTGGGAGAAAAGTGTGTGTGTGTGTGAGAGAGAGAGAGAGAGAGAGAGAGAGAGAGAGAGAGAGAAACAGCACAAGAAAACCTAGAGCTCTTGCTGGCCTCATTCCAAGCTATATGCCTCTCTCCTCAACATGTTCTATAAAGAATATTGACATTTAAAGGCTGGAGGCAAGACACACGAAGTATAAAAAAAAAAATCTTAATATATTTCTGAATTAAAGCTGTGGGTGTGAAGGCAGGGTAAGCTTTGCTTTATATTTTTACAGTTGAGTTATATTTTTACAGTTTCTCCTTAGATCTCCAGTAAAATATTCAGGTAAACCTTGGCGAATACATTTACTTGGCAGTCTCAGCTATCAGTTTGCATGTACCATGTTATATCCGGTAGTACGTTGCTAAATCAGATTGTTTTAAACCTAGTTTACCTGGGAATATTACCTCTAGCTCCTTGTTCACCACTAAACATTTTGATTTCCTTATCAATACCTTAAATTTAAAAGTTTAAACAATATAATAAAGTAACTGAAATGGGGTAGATAATCAATAACTGTAACTCCCTCTTCCTCTGCTCCTTTATTTTTTTTTCTAGTGCTTTGTACTACTCGGCTTCACTTTGGATGCCCAAAGCTCCAAGGGTGTCCTTCTATGGGCCTAGGAAGCTCTTCAAGCTGCAGGTCTCCACCTGTCTCCTTAGCCTCAGAACTTTCATGTTTCTGGAAGTCATTAAAGCTTTTCAAATATTCCAGTTCTCTGCCTCCCAGGCATGTCTACCTCCCAGTAGTTGGGTAAGTTCACATGACTACTTCTGGTCATTGAGCTGAGAATAGAAGTAAAAAGTATTTCTTCTAGGTGAAGGAAGTGAATTTAGTGAAAGACCTTCTAGAGTGCTTTTTCACCCTGAGCTGTAGTGACCAGTAATATTTGAGACAGTGGCAACTCTGTTAGCCTGAATCCCAGAATGAAAAGATGTGGAGCAGAACCCTAGCTCACCTCCAAAGGGCATGAAGGAAAAGTGAGGGATAAAGCATCATTTTCAGAAGCCAGTAAGTTTGAGGGATATATTTTTCTGTAACATAACCTAGTCTATACCCTAATATACCATGTAATACTTCTCCCTTCTCCTTAGTATACATGAAAATATAGACTCATTTAGGGCAGAGCCTTTATCTATGTTGTAATGTTCTCTTAGTATCTTCAGGGCCTGCACAGTGCTTAGAGTATAGGCAATAATCACTTAATAACTCTTTATTTAAAAAATAAAGACTGTACTTGTTGCTATGGTGATATAGGTTGTAATGGGGGTAAATAAATGTGGTTTCTCATGAATGAATGAATCATAGCTCTATTATAGCAAATGAATCATAGCTCTATTAGCTTAGCAAGTCATAGGTTATTGTTCCCAATACTACATCATGGTGATTGCAGACACATTGGAAGGCTGGCATATGAGATGATTTTAGTTAGGTCTGGGTTCCTTCAGAAAATGGAACTTAGGCAGCTACTTGAACAGCCTCATGAATAGAAAGCCTCCAAATTTGCTTAAGTCTCATGAGTAGAAAGCCTCCAAATTTGCTTGAGGGGCCTACCTGGCACAACTGAGAGAGAGCCAGACTGAAACTTGACCGTTGTGTTAAATAAGGTCTTGCTGATTAACCAGCATTATATTTGTAGTTTTCAGTATTGTAACAACTTACTTATAACAGAGTTGAATTTTAGGAGAGGTTCTAGTTATGAATTATTAAGGCTATTTCATTTTCTCTTACCAAAAAAATAGAAAATTTTGCTTTATGAGTTTTAAGCAAAAGGAAAAGATTAATTGATTTTGCCACCTGAAATTCACTTCTTCAAAATGCTTTCTGAAATGCCTGTTTGTAAGTAGGAAAATTTTTTATAATATACACACTACTGTGTGATTACAATCCCAGTGCACTAAGAGCAATTACAATAAAGTTACAATAAAAGTATGAACAATTTTTGCCAAGAGCCAACTCTATGGCAGGCTGATGCCAAAAGAGGGAAGCTAGAAATATGTGAGAACATTTCTTTGAGATCTAACCAGGCTATAAGAATCATCCAGTTATAACATCCAAAGACCATGTCATATGGGCTCTGGCCAGGCCATCTAAAGTGGGTGATGGTAGCATTAGTGTAAGGGGGTGATAATTTATGCTCGGGCAGGTGGCTGACAGTCTCAGGTCCTAAGTGGTGTCTCACTTTGTATATAACAGCAACTATCTAAGACTTATC